TTCAGCAGTAATATCTTTACTGTGGCCACGTTAGGCAACATACTTATACATGGATTTAATTACGAAGTATGTGCATTGCTTTGCTGGTCTCATTGGGAGGACCTAAGTATTGACGTTGGAGCAAGCATTTAAGGGCTTTGAACTAAGATGCAGTTCCATTTGCCTGTAGTCTGGTTTCAAGACAGGAGCAAGATCCAAAAATTGCTCTTCTTTTTGCATGTGGGTGGGCACATTTTCCTAAATAACCCCTTCAAACTATAGTGAGGGCAGTCATTTGGGCAGCCAGTGACACTGTTTAGGTATCTCGCTGCCTGGATGCTCGAGTGTGTCAGATATTTACTCATCTGTGTATCAGGCTAGACTGCGAGTGAATTTTCGGTGCATAGCAAGGAGTGTGTTGCTGCACAGTTCCTCCCACAGACTCAGCAGAAGATCTTCGCTCCCCGGTCACAGTCTTGCTCTTGATGCTTTGGAGGAGAGTTAGCAAGTGAGCTGCCGTAGGCCTGCTCTGAGGGAGTTGTAAATTTTTGGATGCCCTGGTGCAACTACTCATCAGGCGCGTTGTGGGCCCGAGCTCTGCTTCCACCCACTCCCCCACCCCGGAGAGGGACATTTGTTTCCTGTCTTTCGCTGCTGCCTACGGTGCCACCAAACACTGTCATCCTTCGCTGAGTCACAGTTCGACGGCGTTTGCGCCCCTTTTCCCCAGCAAGTTCTCATTCATCAGCGCCACAGCTGCCATGCGCTGTTTGATGCCTGTTTCCCCCACTGAGCAGGCTGGGTGAGATCTGACCCAAATTCAGAATGGAGTTCATTAATATGAAAAACGCTGAGCCGATAAATGTCTGATGAACCGTTTAGCAGATGGGCCCTATCCTTTTCTTCCCGACTGAAATAACAGCAATGTTTTCTTCTCAGTCTTATGGGGGATACGTGACCTCCATGGTGCTTGGCTCTGGAAGCGGCGTGTTCAAGTGTGGAATAGCGGTTGCCCCCGTGTCACGTTGGCAATATTATGGTATGTGATGGCTTCCTCGTTACAAGGATTCCCATATGTCTTGCAGTGCACATGCTGCAAAGTGTTGATTCATAGCGCAGAACTTTGATTATCTACTAGATGCCACGTAAATGCCACTTGGTCTGTTTTTATGAACTCATGGGTATTGCATTTCAGAATTAAACCGATTCCCTAAATCTTATTTCCCATTTTAAAAACTCAGATCCACAATTCCAGGTAATCTCTTCAACGTTTAATGAAGGCTAAATTATTGTAATATTTGTAGTATTACCGTAATGTGTCTGTGTGTGCTTCCCAAAGCTGCCACGTGTTCCAAGACCAGTGTTGTGTGTCAGAAATCCATCACTATTAGGCTTTGCTTCTTCAAAATGCTACTTCACTTATAAGCGAACTGTGAGGCTTAACATCGAACTTGCATTGTAATTTACTCTCTCAAAGTAACAGAATAGGATTTGAATTACCTTTGTTTTCTTTTCCTTTTAGAGTGTAAAATTTGGATTTTATGAAGCTAATTAATCTTAAGAATAGCTTGATGTGAGGAAAACCTGAACAAGTGGACAAGTCTGTACGTGCTTCAAGCTTACAGTGTGTAAGGTTGCAGTTGCATGAGGCTATAAATACAGTTATAGGGGACCTCCTCCCAGATCAAAAAATGTGTATATATAGTTAAAAATATAGTATGTGCTGGTACAATGTGACCACATTTTGACATTTTTCTGGTTTGGATTTGTCCAAAAACATTCAAAGGAAAGCTTTTCCTGGCAAACCTCTGCTAAGTAAGGCATAATTTATCATTCTGTATTTAGCACAGGGGCTGTATAATAGCGTATTATGTCTCTGGTTAATTCAACAGATCAAATCGGACTACCAGGTATTAGCAGTAGTCTGTTGAGGACATAGGGGTGTTTTCGTACTGTTTTGGACATGAATATTACAGTATGGCAGGAATTTTTTTTTTTTAATGACAAACCACTTTAGTTGATTAGATAAAGGAAAGGGTTATGGAGGCATGCATATTCAACATAAAAAAAACCCCCACAAAACAGTGCAACAATGCTGATGAGAAGTCGAATGGACATTAGAATATGGCAACAGAGCATAGATTTGTGTGGCATTTTTAAAATAAGGCAGCAGATCTGCAAAACAAGTAATATGATAGCATGCTGAAAAATCTGTGGAAAATCAGAGATATTTAATTTTTACTATATAACATAGAGGCAAGCTGAGTCCTAATCTATTGCTACATTTTCATTTTCTAGATTTTTAGTAGTAAACATTTAGATAAAATATCGAAGACTTTTGTCAAATGCTAGTCATTTACTGCAAGATTTTAAGTAATTTTCTTAGGATTACTGAAAGAATAACAGTAAGGTAACATTGATACAAAGTACTTAATTAATATTCAGCATTCAGGTGTCCATGGCAACAAGAAGATTAAATATTCTGAATAATGATGGTTACCTACATGCCTCGTTCTGGAAAACCTGGTTTTATCCTTTTTTTTTTCTTTTCTTTTCTTTTTTCTTTTAATTTCCAGTATGCATTCTTACTGTTTGTGTCAGTGGGTAAAATTTCGGGTAGACAGACAGACTGAAAATTAAGCAGCATATTCTGGTTTTGTTTTTTTTTAATTACAGATTCAATATACACGGAGCGATACATGGGCCTTCCTATAGCAAGTGATAATCTGAAGAATTATACTGTAAGAAAGAAATCACTTTTACTCCGTTTTTTTGATGTGTGTTGTTTCTTTTCTAAACCACTCTGTTTTTCTTTATACAGTCTCGTTCCTTCCCCATGGGAAAAAATAAGTTTGTTTCTTCTTTCCAGCTCTAACTGTTGCATTGTGCTTTTAGAGGCTGTAGTCTGATGCATTTGGATTTGCATGTATGGTGTGGGTTTTCTGTTGTTTGTTTGGTGTGCTGTTTTTTTTTGGTTTTTTTACATTCAGTTCCATTTGGCTACTTTGCAGACTGTAAAACAAGCTGTAAAAACTGTTTTATTTTAATCACCAAGAAACAAATTTGTTTTAAAATTTAATATGCTCGTGGGCAAACTATGCTTTCTCTTAAACAACATTTCCACCAAAACAACTCCGGCTCTTTCTGAAATGTGATTTTTAAAAAAATGGGTATTGTGTGAACTTTCTTGCTTTAGGAATCTGCAAGCTTTTTTCAGGGACAGCAAAATCTCCTAAATATTAGGCAACTTTGACCGGTAGGCAAGTCTGTCTGTACTGTGATTATATCAAACAAATTGCAGACCAACTGAGAGCCAGCAGTGTTGGGGCTGGCATTCTGGCCCCGTGTCCACAAACACAGGGTGTCCAAGGTTTGCTGTGAAATGACAAACGTTTGCCCAGGAGTGAGGGGATTTCCAGGTGTTCTGATGGGAGCACAACAGTGTGGATTGCTTGTCCTCGTTATGGCACAATGAATTGCTTGACCTTTTGTTGCCTCAAGGGCTTTTTGAAGTCACAGGGTGTAGGGCAGAGCAGCCCGAGCCTTCCGTAAGGTTATGTTAAATTTCAGATCCAGGTGGAAATACAGTGGCTGCTGGAGAACTGTGAGGGGTCTGAGGGGTGCTGTGTGCCCTGGTTCTTGGGTTGTTTCACAGAGGTGTTCAGCCATGGTGATGCTGGAACCAAACATGGATGCCAGAGGAAGAGAGATGGGGCATTTTTTGCTTGGGCTGGTAAATAGCCTAGAAGACAGTTCAGCACTGATTGTGTCTTGATGCATTAAAAAGTGCTATGGGGGGGGAAAAAAAGGTTGGGGTTTTTGCACTGATTTAGAAGTATGGTAAAACATATAAACACAAACAGCAATGGACTGAAACGTCTGTTTTGACATATCGCTACAGTCACCTGGTTTTGTCAACTGCTGTATCAGACATTCTGGTCAAAATTGAGAACAATGGCAGCGACTGCTGGAAGACTTGGTGCCGCGGCTGCCGCTTCCAACCAGCGAGCTGCTGGGGCCCGCCGGGGACTGACCAGCAGCCTGCAGCCGCCTGCCTGCCTTTTTCCAAATGCGTTTCTTTAAGGCAGTGGGAACAGTAGGAGGTCTGCGAGGTAGCAGTGTAAATAGAAGTCACTGTCGTCGTGCAGAACGAACGTTAACACTCTGGGTGCACAAAGTCATTCACCAGCTTCACGGCACAGATGGCAACAGAGGACTGTTTAATCCTTTCAAGCCAGGAGTCGGATTTTCTTGGCATAGTATCCATTGCTGGCAATGGCCACGTTGAAACTGCCAGTACCAAAGAGCTAAAGGTTTCAAATGTGTTACTCGGAGGACTAATTGGGGAGAATGGTGGCTAGATGGAGGAGGGGTAATTGCACAGATCAGATTGTCACACTTCGCTGCTGCTTCTAGAGACAGGAAAATGCAACTAAGTCCTCATTCGTTGTTAAAAGCCCCAAATGATGTATTACTTGGAATTTACTTTTCCGTATAAACCTGGAGGGGTGGAGTAGCTCGAGAAGTGAGTTTGTTGCTTTTCATGTAGCATCAATTGGAAGGGTTGTGGGATTTTGTTGTTGCTGAAGACCCAGCATGTTCCTGACTTCAGCCCAGCATGTTCCTGGCTTACGGTCCCTTTGTTCGGTGTCCCGGTAGCCAGCCTCCTGGCCCCTTAGCGCCGATGAGAGCTGTTTTCTGAACTGAATGTTTTTTAGCAAGTAAATGCAAAATATGTACTGCAAGCTCTCCTAGCTGAAGCTGTTAAAGCATTTTTGAACTGTTAACTTCATACTGTCAGGTTTGTGTGCTGCATCATATATTCTCTATCCTACTGCATCCGCTATAAAGCTGGCTTGAAAAGTGAAAGGTTGCATAAACTCTGTGTGCCCTAATTTAGAGGAAACGGCACTGTGTACACACCTGCTTAGAGAAGATGTGTGCTGCTAGGTGCCTTCCTAATGCGCAGAGTGTTATTAATGACTCTGAATACATAGTCTGAAGAAACTAGTGGTGGTAAGAAGGGTCTGCCGTACCTTTGTATTACTGTGACATTCGGTTTCACATTTATTGAAGGAAGAGAACCCGAGATGTTAAATACTCTTTGTCAAGAGTCAAGTCTGAGGGATGACTCACACTCCTCTAAGTAGGCTAATTAGGTGTCATCAGTGCCTTTTAAGGTGGTTGTGAGCTATTAAAAATGAGAGCTTTGTAAAAGAAAGGAGCAAGCATGGGTGCTGCTCCCAATGGAATTGTGCGGGGATCCTCGGCTGAATGGCAGAGCAGCCGTCCGCCCAGGAAGCAATGTCCCTGATGTGAAAGACTTGAGGCTAAATCAGGGCAGAGCTCTAGAGGTCAGATGCAGTAGCCATGTAAAGCATACCGAAGAGACTGTTCAACTTGTGAGAAGATTATTTTGCAGTTCACTCTGAATTTGATATGCTTTTGGCAAGTGTTTGAAACAGTCATAGATTTGGCAATCTTTTTCTAGCAGATTTGAAATGTTCAGTCCTTAAGAACTGCTGCATCATTAGGTTATGCAAAACAGGGTACAATTTTGTAAATATGCCATCTTGTACTGATTTGACATTTGTTCTATTATCTGAGAATATGCTAAAGGGAGAGAGACCTTCAGTTTCAGCCAAACCTTAACTTGTTTGTGGAGTGCTGATAAAATGTTGACTGCTGTGTGATCTTTAGAGAAGCCAGTTACACTCAGCAGGGCCTAGTTCTCAGTGGTTGTACATGTTACCTTTTCAGAACCTTTGTCCTGGCGGTGTAACTATGTATTGAAGGGGTAAATTCAGTTGTATTTATTTGCTGTCCACTTGAAGTTTGTTCAGCTGATGTAGCTGTTGCTTTGTGCTGTAACTGTGCCTAACTTCAGATCGCTCCCTATCCTGCAACCTCCTTTCCTGGCAGAACTACTGTGTCCTTAAAGCACATTTTGGGGAAGGGACTCTTCATGTTGTGTACGCAAGTGAGACATCAGTTGCAAGTGACAAAAAAACCCTGAGAAAGTATCTCTCTTGTGCATTCCTTCTTTCTGAAGTATTTTACAAATAGGTTTATTTTGTTTAATGCTTGGAGGGTAAGAATAGTGATATCCTTTTTGTAAAACTGCTTTTGGAAAGTCGAGTTCTCAGAAGTGTAGGTCAGGTCAGGCTTCCACTCGCAGAAGGTTTGATGTCCCTTAAACCAGCACTGATTTGCTGGAAGAAAGTTTCTAAAGGCGATCTGTCAAGTCCCCCTCTGCACATGTGGAAAATGATTCACTCAGAGGATATTGCTTGGTTCTTTTTCTTTTTTGCTTTTTTTTATATCATTGGGCCATTACTTCCTGAATCGTTGTTTTGGTCGGCTGCTGTACTGGTGCTCCTCACTGAATCAAAGTCCTCTCTCCAGATTTTGGCACTATCCTAACTGACTGTTCTTACTCCATGATACCAACTTGTTTCAACGGATAGTGTCATGCTTCCAGTGTGCATGCATTTCCATATATTAGATGGGATTTCTGGTGCTCTGCAGCCTTTCACCATCCGAAGAGGGCAATTCCAATGTTACGGATCGGAGGGTGACTTTTTCTCTCTGCTGAACTCGTTTTTTAAATGTGGTTGAATAACTACAAAGAACTCATTTCACTTATGAGAGGGTTGTGGTATGCTACTCTGCCATAACAAAAGGAATTTAATATTTATGCTTGCTTTAAAGATTCATGAGTGTACAAGAGACATAAGGAAATTAGAACACTTCTGTGTCTTGGTAATACAATGTATTTGACTTTTTGGGGGTACTAAATGCAAATCCCTGTGCAAGGATACAGCTTTAGTACAAAGTGGGGGAGAAAAAAAACCAAAAGAAAACATCACATTCTTTTGTTCTAATTTTTACTGTTTTCTTCCATGCCATAGTAGCTTTCAAGTTGCTGTAATATAGAGAAAACTTCCACAGGGGTTCAGTCATTCTCAGCAGAGAACCCCTAAAATGTTGCTAATGAAAGGAAATTTAATTCAACGTATTTTTGCCCCATTATGCTGGTTGTCTTATCGAGCCTAAAATGTCTTGTTTTGTCCCTTTTTTCTTCCCACTCTGATGGCAGAGCACTATCCTATTCCCTTTCCTTGCCCAAATTAAAAATCTTACCTGCAACCCTTACTTCCCTCATTCTTCAGTACCTAGTCACAGTAGCAAGTCGGGTGGTTAGTATGTTGTAGGGAATATGTTGTTACTGTATTTTAAGTTTCTTGATTAATCTTAGTTGCCAGGTTTTTTTTTTTTTCCCTTTTTTTTTCATCACCGTATTGTGTTTCAATTCCCAAAATGTAGCTTGACTTCTATTTATAGATTCGGTCTAGTGTTGTTTTTCCTTCAGGCATTTCTGTATCGTACTTGGGGGAGAGCATTGTTTTAAACTTCTTGTCAGGCATTTTTGCTTGAGACTGATGAAATACTAGCTCTGTTGACTTACCTACAGGTAAACTGTAGTGAACATTTCGGTGGGGAAGATAATGCGTGTAGTCTCTGCAATATCTACTCCTCGCTATCATAGGGTGCCCTGTTGCCATGGCAACACTTTTTTAACTTGTCTGCAGTCGCACAGGAAACCTGTGGCAAGTGGTGTGCTGCAGGCTAACAACGCGTTAGCAATGCATTAAATGTGTATCTCGCTCACAAAACTCTTCCCCTCTGGAATTGCCTGTTACTTTGCAGACATAACCCTCAGTAATAATTGCAGACCGGTGCAGAACGATGTGAGTGCGAGCACGGTGCTGCTGGATATGTGAACATGCTGCTTGGGGGCACGGAGGGGAGCAGGGGTGGTTGTTTTTATCTGAAGGACCCCAGCCTGTGTCAACAGGAATCAAAGTCAGTTGGTAGCAAATCATCTTCTAACAAATAGCACCTTTTTTCTTTTTCTTTTTTTTCCCCTTTTCTTTAATTTCAGAGTTCAACAGTAATGGCCAGAGCTGAAAAATTCAAAGAAGTTGAATATCTCCTTATTCATGGAACAGCAGATGGTGAGTTGCAGTTAATTAGACATTTTAGTATTACAGACAGGTTCGCAATTCTACTACTGACAAAACAAAAGCATGAAGGGGCAAGGCTGTTACATTTACGTCAATAAAATAATACCGCTTTCTGCAACTAATTTGTGTTTCAGTCAGCAGTGCTGGGGAGTCTTCTGTGTTCGTTGTTTTGCTTTTCCCCCAGAGTAGTACAGAAGCAATTTTTTTGTTTACCTTTTTCTTCTTTTTCTTCCACTTTTCAGATAATGTTCACTTTCAGCAAGCAGCACAGATTTCCAAAGCTCTTGTTGATGCTGAAGTGGATTTTCAGGCAATGGTATGCTTCTGTTTTGCTTATCATCACACAAATGGGTTTGTGTTATGAGAATAATAGCAAAAGCTCCCTGTTGTTAGGTATAAATCAACTGCCATCTGAAATGAAAGTTCACGTACTTGCATTTCATGTTCAGTAACTGAACGTAATACACCCATGTATCTTCTGTACAAGAAAAAATGTGAAGCAACTCCTCCTTCTATTTGACCCTGTTTACCTAATCTTAGGGGTTTTTTGTGTTCTCAAACAAACAGCCAAGCTGACCCCAACCTTTGCGTATACCCGAAGTCCAATGAATAGTATCTTACACGTAGAATAGAAGGAAAGGTTAATTTCGGCTAAGTCCCAGATAACCTGTCCATCACTTTTGGTGTTTCTCTATTGAACTTGTAAGTCAAGTAGTTATGTGCCCCTTCCTATGCTGTACATGCACACTCTCAGACTAAGGTGCGGGCTCTTCCTGCCCTACCTTCTCCCAGCCCTTGGGGAGCAGTGCTCAAAAGGGATAAAGTACAGAAGGAAGCCGCATGCATCAGTGCATGGTTGTCCTTAAACTTGCAGGGCTTACAGGGTGGAGAGCTCAGGCACCACTCTAAACTGAGGAGCTGCATCTGCCATGCATGGGGACAGGCCATGTATTCATTTTGTACTTTTAGCATAAGTAGATGGTGTGTCCCACACACAAAGCAGGGACAAAAGTATCATAGCAGCCTCCTACCACCACCATGTCTTTGCCTCCATGCTGAATTAGCCTCATGCTGGGATAACTTTAAATGTCTGCAGGTTTTTATGTCTTACCATGTTTGATTTATATCATTTAGATGTGGCTAGAACTGACATTCTCTGTATTTTTCTTTCCCGCAGTGGTATACCGACAAAGACCATGCCATCACCGGTCAAGCACATAAGCATATTTATACCCATATGAGCCATTTCATAAAGCAGTGTTTCTCACTGCCCTAGCACCAGCATTTTGGTTGTTAGCGATGGTACTTCTCCAGGAAACTCTCTAGCTAATGTGCACTGAGCCAGTATAAACTTTTATGAATGAAGTTGAGATAAGGGGCAGTTCTTGGGATGCTTGTGTACGCAATGAAATGCTAATCTTTATAATGATTTCTGTTGCCAAGCAACTATTGCATTTTTAGTGATTGTGTTTAATCAGGTCTTAACATTACCAGAATGTAGGTATGTTGCAGACTTCTAGGAAAGCATGGTACTTGCTGGAATCAGTACCTTTTTCTCCTTTAGACTGAAATATCAACAGCCCAGTTTCTATATTAGGGTACTGAATGATGAACATGTCACAGAGGAACCAACGCAGAGATCAGTTGAGGAATAAAAATAATAATGTTTCCAACAAAAAATAAAAACAACCCTGTGATTATTTCTCTGAAAATACTGATAAAACTTTAAACAGATTTTGCAGAAATTACCTAATCCTTGATCAATTATAATGTTAGAAACAGTATCAGGAATATTGCAGTGTCAATATTTTCTATGCAGAGCAAAACACTGTTTACTGCACTTCCTTGAGTTAGTATTTTTTCTGCAATCTCTTGGATTACAATTGTAGAAGTCTTGCAAGGAAAGCACGTAACCAGCATTCACCAAAGCTTTTGAATGATACCTATTCAAACCAATGGCACTGAATTTCTTTGTTTTCTATTATAGTACTGTGATTTTTTTGCTTACGTTATAGTCAAAAAGGCTGCTACTGTGGGAATCTGCACTGGTAGAATCTTATATGGGAACCCTAGCAGCCCACCACTGTTCCTCTATGGGACAGAAAATCTTTTTTTTAAGAAGTTTCCTATTTACTGATGAATAGGATATATTCCTTGCACTCAAACATAAAACATTACAATGCAAACTACCAGTCACTTAAAGTGAGGGCTGGACTGTAACTCTCATGTGACCATGCTATTTAGCAAACCTGCTTTTCCTTACAGCCTACCAGTAAATGTCTGCTTTATCACCAGCACTCCAGGTAGGCTTCTACCTCTGAAGATAACCTTAGTTTTCTTAATTTCACAGACATAGAAAAGATGCAACCCACTTGTTGTACTACAAACTGCGCTGCTTTAAAATAATAAAGACATTAAGTTATGAAAGGACATGTAGTCCCTATCATTGAAAGTGTTGCTCAAGAAACAAACTCCTAGAATTTTACAAATAACCGTTAATTTTGAGGGAGACTTACAGTGAAGTTCCTGCTCTTCTTTAATGGTATCACGTAATGGAGTGTGACATGATTATCTGACACTTAGCTTCTTGCTGTTGGATGCCGGCACGTGATCACATAGGTATTGTGGGTTATTAGTGGCGTTAGGTGTGAATGTAAAAGTACTTATACAGGGAGGGGAGGGAGAATGTCAAAAGACAGTTTGTGCAGCTTGTCTTTAAATGAGAAAGAGAAGGGAGCCTGAGGTGAAAAACAAGGTTTTGGTTTCACAAACAGACCAAAAACTCCTTGACTCACTAAGTTTTTTTGGGAAACAAACTGGAGATGGGTATTACAAACATAATCGTGGGCTCAGTTTATTAGTGGCTCTAATGCAGACTGGCACCACTGTTAAAATGCTGTAGGATACAGGCTGTCAGTTGTCTCCAACAGGTATCCATTTTAGTATCCATGTCTGATTCTTTTGACTCAAGGGAAAGAAACATAGATAAGTATTAAAGGTAGATCACAGCAATGCAGACAGGTTATAAAAAAAGATGATCACTATGGATGGCTTGTTGGCTTGTATATGCAAGGGGCAAATAGTTGGGTGTTTTGTTGTTTTGGTGTTGGGTTGTGTTTTTTTTTTAAACATTACCACTCACACTGTCATATAGACAAAAAAAATGTATTTCTGCAATCCAAAAACTACATTAACTAGGCTCTCATTAAAGAACTGCAAGTATTCCCTTTCTGTAATCAGAAAAGCTTTAAAAAACCCACCCTTTTAAATAAAACTAAAAATGATATGGGCTGGGTAAGTCTTCCATTAAGTAAAGATGCAGTTCTTTGTATCTGACCTACCTTTCTGATGCTAGCATCTCACTGGGACACTGTTCTGTACTCTCAATACAGAGTCTTGGTTTAACTGTCTTATCTGTGAGGCATAACAAAGTACAACACTAATTATCTTACACTTCTTTGTCTGGAAAACAACTTCTAAGCTGTGCTGCTAATACACGATGATGCAACTTTTAGAACAGAAGAAAATGTTTTATTGCTATAGTAAACATCCTAATAAAGAACAACGTAGTGTCCAGTTTTCTCTCTGGTAGATCTCCCTCAGCTCCAAAAATAATGCAGATAATAGGACAATAGAGCCACCTCAGAGAACTGACAACTTCTTCGAAATGCATGAGCACAGGTAAAGAGCTACAACTGAGGCCACAGAAGCCAGCTCAGTTTATTAATGTTCAAAGCCAGCACTAGGAACCAGTTGTGCCTGAAGTAGTGCCACATGCTAAAGTTAGTTTGGCACCTACCAATTACCTTTTTTCTCTCTGTATTTTTTACCATGTGAAATGGATACTTAAGTTTGTTGTACAATACATTTTGTGTAAAATCGTAACAGAAGCAGCTGAAGCCTGAGGTGTGATTGTTACCGTTCTCAGGCTGGGAGGCTTCCAGTCTGTGGTTTAAAAATCGGTGAAGCAGCTCAAAGGGATTTAATGATTTTTGATCTGTAAAATGACCCAACTACTGCTGCCTGGTCCGCATCATCTCTCCCAGGAGCAAGGGGAACCAACTCGTGACCAGTAAATCAGAATTTAATTCCCACTCTCTTCCTGGAACAGGTCAGTTACGTGGCCATCCCTGACGGCACACACTTAGAGTCAGACCAAGTGCAGCAAGCCAACTCTGACAGCATTGCGTGTTTCAGTGAGATTCCACCTGGAAAGGGAGCAGGACTGGGCTCTACAATTCATTAATTTGTGAAGCATATTCAAGTGTCAGGTAGACATTTAAAATACTGTACCATATTGCATACTTGTTCTGGAGTTTGCAGCATAAAAATAAAACTGAAAATTAGTTAGGATAAATATTTATTTTCACATAACATTTCTTAGTTGTGAAAAACACAATAGTCTATTCACATGTACACATAAACTTTTATAATAAATTACATCCAAGAAATTGAGTAATTTTGACCAGGAATATGAAATTAGAAGTAAATATAGCACTACATTTGCTTTATATTGTGTGTGATTTCAGAATGTTAAGATTAACGTTGGAATAGCATTTAAATTCACACAAGAACAGAGTGACTGTTTTAAAATAAAACCACTCTGAAATACTGAACAGAAATACAGAATGCCATTGAATACACTGATTTCTTAATATTCTAAGAGTTGGTCAAGTGAAACTAATACATTTTGATTGTATACATTATCTGTAACAAAGTCAGCAACATATTAAAACACCACCAGGCTGCTTTCGGGACAAACCAGTATTGAACTTCTATACTAACCTTAAAACAATTGGAATCTTACAATTTATCATCAAGTACACAAAACAAAGCATTTAAACTTAATGCATCAGCATTTTTTTCCTAAATTTACAAATAGAAATATTTAATTAAATGTAAATCCTTCTTTGTGTCCGTTAGATTTTTTTTCTCCCCATAAAAATGACCTTTAATGGGCTTTGATAATGGTAAGTCAAATTTAGAACAGTGACCCTGTTAGTTTGCAGCAAAATGCAATTATCATTTATGGCTAAAATAGTAAAACATACACACTTACATGCACAAAAACATTGGAAGGAATACTTTAAATGTTCTGGATATGAAAAGTTGTTCACATGAGGTCTATGGAAAGGTACCATATTTTGGAAAGCTGGGGAATGTTGGAGCCCTGTAGATGAGTTATAAAGATTACAAGACTATAATTCTTATTTGTAGGATTAAAGTAATAGCGTAATAATGAGAGTTAGCTTTCATTTGATCATTTAAAAATTTATCTTAAAAAAATTTAAAAATCAGCGAATTCCAAATAACGCAATAAAACTTTTGCTCCACAGCTCTATTAATTCAATACCTAATCTCACAGTCTTTGTTTTACATAAAAGAACCGCTTGAAGGATCAAGCAGTAACAAAATCCATTATGAAAAAATGTTTTTGTAATGGCTTTAAAGCCACATTTTACTTTGCAATGTTGTTTTTATCCTTTAATCAATATGTACTTGATGGAATAGTGAAGAGCTGTAGCAAAACCAACAGCAGGATACCCATTTAAGTATTATACACAATTAATCTCTGAAATTAAGAGGTTTACAGTTGTTGGTAGGGAGAGGACAATATAAATATGCACTTTATGTGGCTGTATTTTAGGCAGTAAAGAGGAAAATCATTGGGCAGGCAACATAACTGCATGTGGAGTATAGTTTGTATCTACAAAACTTTCCCTATTATAAAATAATGGATTGATTGATGACATAATGCAGTTGTTTGGCCTACCACAGCAACATTCATACAATGCAAGATAAGATACTGTAATCACAGATTGCATTTTAAGAAATACTGCACCCATGTTTCACATCAAAAGATGTGCTGTTTTTCAGCTATGGTGAAAGAATGTTTTAATATATGTTTTTAATATATATTTTTTTA